GACTGAGCCACCCAGCTGCCCCTATATATATATATTTTTTAAGATATAAAAAATATATATATATGTATTTTATTTTTTTAAAGACAACTGCTTTTCAAATAATACCAAATGGATTCTTTTTTTTTTTTAAGATTTTATTTATTTATTTGACAGAGAGAGACACAGCGAGAGAGGGAACACAAGCAGGGGGAGCGGGAGAGGGAGAAGCAGGCTCCCCGCTGAGCCGGGAGCCCGATGTGGGGCTCGATCCCAGGACCCTGGAATGATGACCTGGGCCGAAGGCAGCCGCTTAACCGACTGAGCCACCCAACTGCCCCTATATATATTTTAGAAAATGTATTTAAAGAGTAAGTCTTCTCTACAAGAAAAACAATAGAATGATAAATTTTATTTCTGGAAAAGATTGTCAACTGCGAGCAACCTGAAGTTTTGGGGAATGGGGGAAAGTTGCTGTCTCCTGGGGGCGCAGGGGTTGCTGGACCGGGAGGGAGGGACAGACGCCCATGACTTCCACTGCACTCAGTTTATTTCACAACTGTTTACCGTGCGCTTACCATGGTGCCAGGCCTGTTCCAGTGCTGGGAACACAGCAGGGAACCAGACGGATAAGAGGCCTGCCTGGGAATGAGTAGGCTGGGCACAACCAGTGAACTTCTAGAGACAAAGCAGTCCTGAGGCAGTGGGGCTTTCCAAACATACAGAGCCGCTGAATTGAGGTGATTCCACTGTGGGGACCGGGACAGGTTCCCCCCTTGGATCCTGATTGGTCTACCGCCACCCTGGCCCTGGCCACCCCATCCCGACCTCTGCAGTCGCCCCAAGGGAAGGGGTCCAGTGAGGAGCACAGGCAGTGGTAAGAGGATGAAAACACGGCTGGTGCCAATGCTTAGCCGCAGACAGGTGGGCAAGGGGACTATAAATCACTCCCAACTGTGCTCAGACAAGGGTGGGCCCTTCAGAGAGTATCCTTGTTTTTAGACACAACAGTGCTTCATACCCTCAATTTGATGCTGAATTTTCAGGCTTTGGCATAAGATTGTTCTGGGTTGGGCGCCTGGGTGGCTCAGTTGGTTGGGCGGCTGCCTTCGGCTCGGGTCATGGTCCTGGAGTCCCGGGATGGAGTCCCGCATCGGGCTCCCTGCTCAGCGGGGAGTCTGCTTCTCCCTCTGACCCTCCCTCCTCTCATGTGCTCTCTCTCGCTCTCTCATTCTCTCTCAAATAAATAAATAAAATCTTAAAAAAAAAAAAAAAGAACAACTTTCCCTTTAAAAAAAAAAAGATTGTTCTGGGTTTTTTTCCCTTTTACTCTTCTGTATTGTGAAAGCCAACACATTTAGAAAAAATACGTAAAACGTCAGCGTACAATTAACAAAGAATTTTTTTTTTTAAGATTTTATTTATTTATTTGAGAGAGAGAGAGAATGAGAGATAGAGAGCACGAGAGGGAAGAGGGTCAGAGGGAGAAGCAGACTCCCTGCTGAGCAGGGAGCCCGATGTGGGACTCGATCCCGGGACTCCAGGATCATGACCTGAGCCGAAGGCAGTCGCTTAACCAACTGAGCCACCCAGGCGCCCCAACAAAGAATTTTTTTTTAAGATTTTTATTTATTTGTGAGAGAGAGTGAGCAAGAGAGAGAGAGAGCACAAGTGGAGGGAAGAGGCAGAGGGAGAGGGAGAAGCAGGCTTCCCGCTGAGCAGGGAGCCCAATGTGGGGCTCGATCCCGGGACCCCGGTATCGTGACCTGAGCTGAAGGCAGACATTTAACCGACTGAGCCACCCAGGCGCCCCCAGTTAACAAAGAATTATAAAGCAAATTCCCATCCATGTGAACACTCAAGAAATAAAATATTTCCAGTAGTCCCAGAAACCAGCCCCCTCCATAGGCCTTCCCAACCTCCGCCCTTCTCCTGGCTTTTGTAGTGATCTCTCCCTTGCTTTTCTTTTAGTTTTACTACTTATGTATGCATGGAATTTGTTTTATTCATCTGTTTAGTAGCTATAAATCATTTTAGGTCATGTCTGATTAACAAGGTAGAGGATCAGGCTGGGTAATGCCATTTTTATTAAAAAAAAAAAAAAAAGTCGGGATGCCTGGGTGGCTCAGTCGTTAAGCATCTGCCTTCGGCTCGGGTGGATCGAGCCCCGCATCAGGCTCCCTGCTCAGCGGGAGGCCTGCTTCTCCCTCTGCCACTCCCCTTGCTTCCCTCTCTCACTGTGTCTCTCTCTGTCAAATAAATAAATAAATAAATCTTTTACAAAAAATAAAAAAGTCGTGTGCGGTAAAGCAATAAGGATGATATTCTCTGTTCTACGTGAACTAGGCACATTGGGAAAAATCCCCAAACTGTCGTGTACTAACAGCACTGCTGTAAGGACTATGGTCATTTGAACATCTTCACTCTGCTTCATCTATTCATCTGTGGATCTGGTTAGTTCAGAATCCCACCTAGTGTATAGCGTTGCCCTGTTAAACCGCATTTTTCCAACTTTTACCTGTTTTGTTTTTTATTCGAAGTGGCCTTTAGTGTTCATCCCCTGGAAGTATTTGTGAGGAAGGCCTGTGCTCACTGTTTGCCCCAGGCCTCCCCACAACCCCAGTGTCCTCTGTGTGAACAGCTTCCTACAGTAGGAGAGTGGAGTTACGTTCTAGTGGAAATGCTGTGAACATTGGAAAATGTTCCCCTTGTGGTTTTGTTACTAAGAATGTATTACCTGTCTGCCTAGAATGGTGCAGGTCTGACCTTCCCTGCTAATGGAAGGATGAGCAAGGTGACCATTTCCAACTTTGTAATGACCTCCTCCAGTCCTTCTTGGGTAGTGTCAAATTCTTCTCCATTTTTATATTAGAAAAGGGAACCAAATAATTAATTGTTTCAAATAATTGTTTAGAATAGAAATGTTAACATGGGCTTACTTGGCCAATGGTCAGGTATTGCCAAGGTCTCATATGAATGGTTGGTGGGAACATTTTATTTTATTTTATTTTATTTTATTTCATTTTATCTTAAAGAATTTATTTATTTGGCAGAGAGAGATACAGCGAGAGAGGGAACACAAGCAGGGGGAGTGGGAGAGGGAGAAGCAGGCTTCCCGCTGAGCTAGGAGCCCAATGTAGGGCTTGATCCCAGGACCCTGGGATCATGACCTGAGCCGAAGGCAGATGCTTAACCTGGGCACCCCTGGTGGGAACATTCTCATCAGGCCAAGGTCATAGTTTAAGTCCCCCATGGGGATGGTTGGACTAAACTCTAAACCTACTTATGGTATACAAAATATAAAACTAGAGAGGGACACCTGGGTGGCTCAGTCAGTTAAGGCAGCTGCCTTCAGCTCAGGTCATGATCCCAGGGTTCTGGGATCAGGTCCCACATCGGGTCCCCTGCTCAGCGGGGAGCATGCTCCTCCCTCTCCCTCTGCCTGCCGCTGCCCCTGCTTGTGCATGCTCTCCCTCTCTCTGACAAGTAAATAAATAAAATCTTCAAAAAAATAAAATAAATAAAACTAGAGAAAAAACTGAAAACTTACTGCACTATGAAGTGATAATGACATGGAAGGTTAAAAATTGAAAGTAATTTAAAAGCCCTTTATCATCTTACTTTATTTTTTTAAGATTTAATTTATTTATTAGAGAGAGCAAGTGTACATGTGCATGAGTGGGGGAGGGGCAGAGGGAGAGGGAAAAGCAAACCCCCTCACCTCAGCCCTGCTGAGCAGGAAACCCAACACAGGACTCTGGGATCATGACTGAATGGAAGGCAGAGCTTAACCAACTGAGCCACCCGGGCGCCCCTATCATCTTACTTTAAATGGATAATGGGGGTGCCTGGGCAGCTCAGTTGGTTAAGAGTTGGCCTCAGCTCAGGTCATGATCCCAGGGTCCTGGGATCGAGTCCCACATTGGGCTCCCTGCTCAGTGGGGAGTCTCCTTCTCTCTCTGTCAAATAAATAAATAAAATCTTTAAAAATAAGTAAAGATAAATGGATAACAGATTTTTTTAGAGCTAAAAGGAACTTGCCAGTCCTTAAACATCATCCAATTCATCTTCTTCATTTATAGAAAAGAAGCACACACCCATTAAAACATCAGATTAATTCCCTCCCCCCTCTCATGTGCTCTCTCTCTCTCTCTCTCTCTCATTCTCTCTGTCTCAAATAAATAAATAAATAAATAATCTTTTAAAAAATCAGATTAATTTATCTAATAGTGTTTTCCTCAGGCTAATATTCGGTTGAAATTACATTTACCAAGTACACGTGATGTTGATATGACGTGAACGAGAGACATACCGGCGGCAGGGTGACACACACAGCAAGCAGTGAGTGCTGACAGTAGGTTTGGGGTTGGCACTTGGGCCCTGACCAGGTGCTCAGAGTCCATGCAGACCCCATATAGGATCTGTTAGTCAGATTTATAATCCTTGTAGGCATGATGGAAAATTACTGGGGACAGAAACTATTAGGGATAGAAACTGAGTTTCTGGCTCAGCCTTTGCATCTGAGTACCACCAACACAGCAGTTCCGGGGCAAGAAAGCAGTCTGGTATCAACTCAGCATCCCTGTGAATGGCATCCAGAAAATTCAACATGCCCATAGATTCTTTTTTTTTTTTAAGATTTTATTTATTTATTTGACAGAGAGAGAGACACAGCAAGAGCAGGAACACAAGCAGGGGGAGTGGGAGAGGGAGAAGCAGGCTTCCCGCTGAGCAGAGAGCCCGATGCGGGGCTCGATCCCAGGACCCTGGGATCTTGACCTGAGCCAAAGGCAGGCGCTTAACGACTGAGCCACCCAGGCGCCCCATGCCCATAGATTCTTAAAGGGTGCTCTTTGCAATCCTCCCAGAGTGATAGGAGAGTAAAGTAAAATTCTTGTTTCGCTTTGTAGTCTAAACTGAAGTGATGCCAGGTAGGCATTAACAGGCTTGATTGGTGTTTTAGCTAATCTATGAAAACTTTTAGTCATGAAATTAACTTCTCATCTTGGCCATATTTTTCACAGGCTCAGAAAAAAAGTTTGAATCAGACTTCCCCCATTGCTGCTTCCAAGACCACAGATGGCCTGAGGCAGACGCAGATCCCTGGCCTCCTGAACACCCCACTGCCAGGTCAGGAGCCTTTGTTGTAAGCTCCCCTCTGCTGTCCCCTGTCTCCCCAAACCCATCCCTCATCCTGCTTGCAGCCTTTCCCATTCCACCTCATGCCCACTCTGACCTTGCCTCCTGTATCTTTTCTACCCAAATAACAGACCGTGTTGCATCTGTACCTTCCTTTTATGTACTACTAAGGAAAAAAAAAACACTTCTAATTAAATTATGACACACTAAAATATATGGAAAAAATGTGCTGCTTAGAAACAATAAAATCTAGTACCATATGGCACAGGTGACTTTGTAACTATCCTCATGTCCCTTTATTTATGTATATTTGGAATCCCCCCCCAAGACTAAAAATATTGTGGGCTATGTCTTCCATTTCTTCTAAAGCTTTGAATATCTGCACTGCTCAATAAATACTAGAAAAGACAAAAACAGGAACACTCCTAATCAGCCCCCTATTTGGGCCTCCATCCCTTAATTTATGAGTGTTTTGGGGTTTGGTAATACAGATTACTGGTTTGAGGCTTATTCCTCAGACCTTAGATAATTTGAAACTGTAGCATTGACAGCTTTTATTTACTACCATTTATTTATGTATTTGTTTCTATTTACTACCTAAATAGGCTTTGCTAACCCTGACCTCTGCCTTAGAGCTTTTGTAGATGAATGTACTTCCTGCTCTCCTCCCTCAGAGCAAGCATCCATGATAAAGAAATCCCTTTCAGAATGGTCAGTAATCCATATACATTGGACTCTACAGGTTATATAAGAGGCTTGCTTGACTGTTCCTGTTGTCTTATGTGTTCATTCTAATAGGGCAGGATTCTGGAAGCAAAGTTATGCCGGTGTCCTTAGGAACTGCACAACCACAGCAGGAAAAAGTAGTTGGATCATCTCCTGGCCGGCCAGCTGTGCAGGTAGAAGCCAGTTTGCATAGCTGCTTCTTAATGTTGAGCATAATTGAGAGAAAATGTAGTCATGTCATCTTCAGCTTGGTAGTTGCTGCCTGGCATCATCTGCCCCCAAAAGTGTGCTCACTGAAGACCTTCCCCTCAGCCAGGCCGTGTTATGTTCATGTTTGTGGGATTAATGTGTCTGTTCTATTTCTCACATTACAACACTGTCATTTCCTCATGAATTAATACTATACTGGCAGTCAATACATAGAAGGTACTCAAAAAAATGTAGTTTACTGTTGGTCACTCATTATCATAGCCAAAGTGGATCTGTTCCTCTTGTTTCTTTAAATTAATTTATTTGAGAAAGACAGCAAGAGAGCACGCACGTGTGAGTGGCAGGGAGGGGGAGAGGGTGGCAGAGGAAAAGAATCTCAAGCAGACTCCCCACTGAGCACCGAGCCCCACGTGGGGCTCGATCTCATGACCCTGAGATCATGACCTGAGCAGAAATCAAGAGTTGACTGCTTAGCTGACTGAGCCACCCAGGCACCCCTGGATCTGTTCATCCTAGTTATACTGAGAGGTTTCTTTTTTTTAAAGATTTTATCCATTGGGGCACCTGGGTGGCTCAGTTGGTTAAGCGTCTGCCTTCGGCTCAGGTCATAATCCCAGGGTCCTGGGATCGAGCCCTACATCGGGCTCCCTGCTTGGCGGGGAGTCTGCTTCTCCCTCTCCCTCTGACCCTCCCCCTGATTGTGCTCTCTCTCTCTGTCAAATCTTTATAATACATACATACCTAAAATCTTAAAAAAAAAAAAAAAAGATTTTATCTCTTCGAGAGAGAAAGTGAGTGTATGGGACGGGGGGGACGGGTAAAGGGACAAGCAGACTCCCCGCCTCCCCATTGAGCATGGAGCCCAACTTGGGGCTCCATCCCAGGACCCCGAGATCATGACCTGAGCCTAAGTCAGACACTCAACCCACTGAGCCACCCAGGTGCCTCTATACTGAGAGTTTTTTTATTTTTCTGCTGTAGCAACCAGGAATGTTATGAAATACCCAGTCCCTGTGGTCTTTTAACCCAACCACTGATCTGAAAAGGAAGGAAAAAAAATCTTGTTTTCAGCTTACGGAGCCCTTAGTTTCTTCTTCATCAAACACCAATTAATAGTTTGAAACTTGTTATAGTCTCTGCCTGCCTAGAATACCCAGTGAAGGATCTGGTTCAGTTCTCAGGTTCTGACTTAAGTCATGTTTGTGTCCTTAACATTGATATAAGAAGTGCTACTGTGGGCACCTGGCTGTCTCAGTCAGTAGAGCATGCGACTCTTGATCTCACGGTTGTGTGTTTAGAGGTTACTTAAAGGAAAAAAGGAAGAAAGAAAGAGATTCCCTACTAGATCATACACCTAGACTGTAACAGCAACTGAATTTTCAGATGTTCATGGAGTTAGTACCCACAAAATGTACTTCTCCAAAAATCTAATGATACATTTAGAGAGTTGGGGTTTCAGGCTTTAAATACAAGCTGAGTCCTTCCAAGAAACTGATAGCACAGCTTTCCATGATCTTGAACACAGTGTGACTTTGCTACATGGGTCTATGGCCTTGCTTGTTTTATTTTTTAGCAGGACACCTTCTACATTCTTAGACTATGCTCTTGATAAGGAGTTGAAAATATTCACAACATAGTGACCTTTATGTGTAACTGTATTCTGCATATTTTTTCTACAGAAGGGAGTAATAAGAGGTGTGTTTTGTCTTTAGGTGGATAGTCACTCAGGAGGACAAAAGCGACCTGCTGCAAAACAGCTAACTAAAGGAGCTTTGTGAGTGACCCCTGGAAATGACTCATTTTGAACATTTCTCTAGGTTCCTAACCTTCAATAACTATACAACAGAAGTCAGGTTATAATAATAATATATGTAATATTTTTTAAAATATGCTTTGAAAATAATTTCCTACAGTTTGCTTCTATTGGGACCCATAAATACAGTGACCCTTGAACAACATGGGTTTGAACTCTGCAGGTCTGCTTATATGCAGATGTTTTCTGATAAATACAGCGCAGCACTGTAAATGTATTTTCTCTTCCTTACGAGTTTCTTTTTTTTTTTTAATTATTTATTTATTTAATTGACAGAGAGAGAGACACACACACAGCGAGAGCAGGAACACAAGCAGTGGGAGCAGGAGAGGGGGAACCAGGCCTCCCGCCGAGCAGGGAGCCCGATGTGGGGCTCGATCCCAGGACCCCGGGATCATGACCTGTGCCGAAGGCAGACGCTCAACGACTGAGCCACCCAGGCGCCCCTTCCTTACGAGTTTCTTAATGACATTTTTCTTAGCTTCCTTTTTTGTAAGCATACAGTATATAATACATATACTATACAAAATATATATTAGTCAACCATGTAATCAATAAGGCTTCCAGTCAACAGGAGACTCTTGGTAAAGTTTTGGAAAAATCAAGTTACATACGGATATCTGACTGTGCGGGGAGTCCGTGCCCCCAACCCCCTCATGTTGTTGAAGGATCAACTGTGTACCAAATATAGTTTGAGTCTACTGTTTGCTCTTTTGTTCTCAGGGAGAATAGTTCTCTGTCTTTTTAGCATACCACATACCCTTTGATTGGCCAAAGGGTCTCTGAGGAGAAGCGTGGTTTGATAAACTCCTGTGTTTGGAACAGAAATATTAGCATAAGTTTAGTTGGCCAATGGTCAGGCATTGCCAAGATCTGTGTGAGCACCCCCACGTGAGGGGTTGGTGGCAACACCGTGGTTTTGAGGCCAGGGTCATAGTGTGAGTCCCCTGTGGAGACAGTTCGACCAAACTCTACTCCCACCATGGTGTACAAAGTATAAAACTGAAGAAAACACAGAACCACTGTCCTGTGAATAATAACGTTCCTGTAGATCTTATTTTCTTGGCATGCAAATAGCCATCATGATTAGATTTCCTACCATGGATCTCCACTGACACTGGCAATTTCTCTTTTAAAGCATTCTCCAGCAGTTACAGAGGGACCAAGCCCACGCTGTGACACCTGACAAAAGTCAGTTCCGATCACTGAGTGAGGCGGTGCAGAGGCTCCTCTCCTACCACGTGTGCCAGGGCTCCATGCCCACGGAGCAAGACCTGAAGAAAGGTAAACAGGCTGCCACCCCAGAGTGCCCCTGTCACACCACGCACCATCCTATGGATGCCCCACAGGAGAGCAAGAGCCCCGGGGCTCCCAGAGAGTAGGCGTGTTCGTGTTTTTCATCATAGACCTAACTTATTCCCAATTTACTCAATTTCCTGGTCCCTCTTTAGGGTTGTGACTTACTCTTCTCAATATTCGGTGAGGGGATACCCAAATGTCAGAGTATTTTATTGACCAATCCGGGGGCACTGAACCCAAAACATTGTTTGGACAGCTGGCTGCAGATGGATGGCCCTGAAGGCAGTACTCTACACAGTGATTTCTCGTGTGTGGGCAGAATGCGACCCCTTAGCTGCTACCAGCAGTTTTATGAATGAGATAGATACTTTAGCCCCCACAACCGTTCTTCGAGCTCCAAAGTGAGTCTAGGGCATTGCTGTATGTCAAGAAACTGGCAAAAATGCTAAGGATAAGGGCCCCTTTATGCCAGCTTGGAATTCTGCCCGTTCTGAGACCTGGCCCTGCTGCCCCTCCCAGCTGTGCCGCTTAGTTCTACCCTCCTCCCCCCCACCCCGTTCGCAAGCCTAGACTCCATCAGTTCCCCTCCGCTGCTTTCAGCCCTCCCACGGCTGCCCTTGGCCGTGCTGACCTGGCTTCAGTCTCTGATCTGAGTGCAGATCGGTCCCGGTCAGTCCCCTGGGAGCTTCCCTGGGCAGTCCAGGGAGTACGGTCCAGGTCCAGTATGACACAGGGATGTGAAGACTCGGAGTGACTAGAAAATGCAAAACCTTTGGAGACTGGCAGGCAAAGGACGGAGCCGCAGCACTGTGACCTGCAAGATGTCATGAACTAGTTTGTGTCCTTACATAAAACCGATCCGCCCAGCCCAGACTATGGGACTTTCTTGTTCAACTGTTTCCGTTTTTCATACCATTGGAAGGGAGTGGAGGTTTGACCATCTAGACCAACAGATCCTTCTCTATTCATTGATATTTATTGCATGTCTGTGCTATATGGTTTTCTTTTATTGGTGATGTTAAAAGTATTCTGGTTTTGGCCTCCTAATTAAAGTTAAAATAAGCTAGTATTGGGATGAGTTGCCCAGTCACCTAACAGTGGACGGTGAGGGGAAGTGCAGAAACACGTTTAAACAAGGAAAGCTAACCTAAGAAGAGAAGATTGTCACAGGCAAGACATGTTTGAGTAATGGAAGAGTAATGCATTTCGGTCCTGAGAAAGAAAAGACCTAGTGAGTGATTTACACTCTCTTACCATTTTCTCTCTCTCTCTCTTTTTTTAAAGTCGACAGTGAATTTGAAACAGTTGCCACTCAGCTCCTAAAAAGGACCCAAGCTATGCTTAACAAATACAGATGCCTGCTTCTAGAAGATGCCATGGTAAAATTCATGCTACTAAGCATATTTGTTTTTTAAAACCCCACAGGTCACAGCTAGTAATTCAGAGAGAAAAAAACTTCAGGGAATTACATTCTCCCAACATAATTTCAAAGGCCCAGATACTGAAGATTGTAGAAAACCTTCCACCTGACTGGTACTCCTGACACTTGGCATTCGCTGCACTTGACATGTTCGCTCACACCTAATGCATGCTATGGTTCTCCTGGTTCCAAGTGAGGAAACCAGGGCTTTGGTTAAGTAATTTGCCTAACATCCTACATCAGTTTGGAGAGCAATTAGCAGAGCTAGGGGACAGACCAGGACCATCTGAGACCCCAGCCCCCATGCATACTCTGATGCTGTCAGCTACCTCTCACCAGCCCAGAAGTGTGGGGAAAACTGTTCAGAGTAACATCTGAAAAGACCAGGTGATGACAAGTGTTAAAATTAGCTTTATCTTGTTTTAAACTGAGTGATCATTAACGTGCCATGAAGTTCATGCATGATTTAAAAATGTACAACTTGATGGTTTTTAGTATGTTCATAAGGTTGTGCAACCATCAACCACTGTCTAATTCCAGAACGTTTTCATCATTCCAAATAGAAACTAAACTTAGTTTTAAAGCTCCGGTTAATTAGAGACAGAAGATAATTCAGGAAATGATAGAAAGACCAAGCCTATTCTGAGATTTTAGAAGCAATTCTGAAATCATACAGGCTTTCACTTATAAATTGGCCTCTTACAAGCAGTTTCCAATTTAAGATCAACTTTGAAATGTACCTTGGGAGCTTAGTTGAATTACATTATATACATATACAATACAGTATAAAATATGTGTGTGTGTTAAATATATATATTTACTTATTTATATTTACTTAAAATTATGCTTCCAAAATTTGGAATGTTGTTCTTACATTGACAACCATTTCAGGAAAAAAATGCTGAGATATCAAAAAGACTTAACTCTTACCATTTTTGAGGAAAGGACCACTTATTTCCTCAAGTTATCTTATATCTGCTATGAATTTTCATGTTAAATAGGACTCACAATATAATTTAAGCTTCAATTCTGTAGAGCAAAAAATAATTTTAAGGAAAGCCTTACTAAAAAACACATTGAAAGTATAGTAGAATATGAAGAAACATGTCATCCTAATGAAAAGATTTCTAACGTATTGTTAGGCAGAAGGGGGAAATAAGACTGAACAGTGTGTACAGTTGCTACCATTTGCGTGCAGAAATAAACCAAGATGAATGTCAATGCATGTGTGTGCATAAAATCACTCTGTAAGAGTCTGTTAAACTGCTAGGTGCAGGTGCCTGCAGAGACAGGCCGGGGAAGCAAAGAAGGCAGGCTTAGTTTTCACATGCTCTCTAGAAGTCAGTGTAAATCACCTTTTCCCCAAAAATACAATTTTAAAAAATGCATCCCTACGTGACAAGGATAAATGGGACTAAATGGGATGCTACTAGAACCTAGACACCAAATTTTCAGGTCTGGGTGCTTCGTTTGTTTCAAAGATGCAGTGGGATGTTTGCACTTTGTTAAAAGGCATTTGAAATGACCAGACTCTTCGTTTTCAGCGGATCAACCCCTCTGCTGAGATGGTGATGATTGACAGGATGTTCAACCAGGAGGAAAGAGCTTCTCTGTCCCGAGACAAGCGTCTGGCACTTGTAGATCCTGGTAAGAAACGTCAGAGGAAAAGTAGAGGAGAGGTGCTGCCAGGGTTCCAGGCCGTGGGCCTGTGGGGAGTCTCTCTGAACCACCGCTGGGTATGAAACCTGAAGGTACAGAATGCATTCTGGGGAGAAAAAACCCAGAGCGAGAACAGTGCATGAATACTGTGAGAAGGTCCATAGTCTAGAAAATCCAAGCTGGAATTCCACATTCGTTATGTGATTGTGTTTCCCCGTTATAAACATTCTTTCTGTATTTCTTGAGAACTAAATTATTTTTTTTAAGATTTTATCTATTTATTTGATAGAGAGACAGCGGGAGAGGGTACACAAGCAGGGGGAGTGGAAGTGGGAGAAGCAGGCTTCCCACTGAGCAGGGAGCCTGATGCAGAGCTCAATCCCAGGACCCTATGATCATGACCTGAGCCGAAGGCAGCCGCTTAATGACTGAGCCAGCCAGGCGCCCCTAGAGAACTAAATTAAGTCAGAAGCCTTCCCGGAAGCATTTAAGCCTCAGCAAATTATCGAGTTGTCTTACCATATGCAAGGCATCCTTAGGGGCCCTGCCCGCAAGCTCATAAATTAAGATGCTTCATTAAGTACCTTTCTTTCACCCGGCAGTTTCCCACCGACTGCGCAGGAAGAAATTTTCCTCCGGCCAATGTTTTTCTAGCTGGACAAATTAAATTTACATGAAACATATGAATAGGAGAGAAAAAAAGTTTTATTACATGTGTACAGAGGCCCAGTAATGAAACTGAAACCCAAAGAATGACCAAGGCAGGCAGTTTTTACACTTTTTAGACAAAGAGACAATAAATCTATGAGAAATTGACAGGATAAGGAAGACTTAACTCTGGGAGCTTCAGTTAGTAAGGAATTCTAAACAGAATTTGGGCTGGAGTAGTAAATTAGTGAAAGTAATAAGGACTGTTTCTACACCTCTGGGCCCTGAATTCTCTATTTCTGGTGATAAGGATGTCTCTCTCTCCTGGTACAGGGAGGGCACTTTTCACGTGGGAGATTTATTTCCTGCTCTCAGGGGGACAGAGGAGGGTCTAAGTGTCCTTCTTGCAATGGCTGGGTTTTTGTTTGTTTTTGTGCTGTTGGTTTGTTTGTTTTTTTTTTGAGAGAGAGAGAGAGAGAGAGCGCGCGCGTGCGCACGTGGCTGGGGAGGGGCAGTAGGCAGAGGAGAAAGAATCCTAAGCAGGCTCCATGCTCAGTGTGCCCCAACATATTCTGCCTTTTAAAAATGAATCCTCAGGGTACCTGGGTGGCTCAGTTGGTTGAGCATCTGCCTTCGGCTTGGGTTGTGACCTCGTGGTCCTGGGATCGAGTCCTGAATCAGGCTTCCTGCTCAGTGGGGAGTCTGCTTCTCTCTCTCACTCTCCCTCTGTGTGCTCTTCCTCTCTCTTTCTCTCTCAAATAAATAAATAAAATTTTTAAAAATAAATTAAAATTAAAAAATAAAAATAAAATAAAACTGAATCCTCCTGGGGCGCCTGGGTGGCTCAGACTGAACCCCGTGTAGGGCTCCCCACTCAGCGGGGAGTCTGCTTCTCCCTCTCCTCCCAATGCCCCTCCCGCCGCTTATGCTCTCTCTCAAATAAATAAAAGATTTTAAAAATAAAAATAGAGACGCCTGGGTGGCTCAGTCAGTTAAACATCTGCTTTTGGCTCAGGTCATGATCCTGGGGTCCTGGGATCGAGCCCCTGCATGGGGCTCCCTGCTCAGTGGGGAGTCTGCTTCTCCCTCTGACCCCCCCCCCCCGCTTGTGCTTTCTCTCTCTCTCTCTCCCTCTCTCTCTCAAATAAATAAATAAATATCTTTAAAAAAAAATCCTCCCTGGGATGCCTGAGTGCTCAGTCCGTTGAGCATCTGCCTTCAGCTAGGGTCATGATCCCAGGGTCCTGGGATGGAGCCCCCACATAGGGCTCCTTGCTCAGCGGGGAGCCTGCTTTTCCCTCTGCCTGCCATTCCCCCTGCTTGTGCTCTTTCTCTCTAACAAATAAATAACTAAAAAAACTTTAAAAAAAAATCCTCCTTACTTTTTTCTGGCCTCTAAATTTTTTTTAAATCTAATAACATTATAACAATTCGTGGAGTATAAATTTTACCATACTTGCACCATCCTATAAACGAAAAGTTTTTATTTCTCCCAGTTTTTGTCCAGTTCTGGTTCCCATTTGCATACATCATTTATGTATACTTAAAATCATATCTACATATGATTTTGTTCTAATTTTCTTCCATTTAACACATCTGAAGTTCTTAACATTTTCTAGAGTCTTCAAAATAATATTTAATCAATTTTTAATACATTAATTTGAGAATTTAGCTAAACCATTCCCCTAGGGATGTCTGGGTGGCTCAGTCGGTTAAGCGTCTGCCTTCGGCTCAGGTCATGATCCCAGGGTGCTGGGATCGAGTCCTGCGTCGGGCTCCTTGCTCAGCGGGGAGGTTGCTTCTCCCTCTGCCTGCTCATGCTCTCTCTCCCTCTCCCTCTCTCTGACAAATAAATAAATAAATAAATCTTTAATAAAAAAAAAATAAAGGGGCTCCTGGGTGGCTCAGTCGTTGAGCATCTGCCTTCGGCTCAGGTCATGGTCCCAGGGTCCTGGGATCGAGCCCCACATCGGGCTCCCTGCTCGGCAGGAAGCCTGCTTCTCCCTCTCCCGCTCCCCCTGCTTGTGTTCCCTCTTTCACTGTGTCTCTCTCTGTCAAATGGATAAATAAAATCTTTAAAAAAATTTTTTTTAATTAAAAAAAAAAAAAAAAAAAAACCATCCCCCTACTGTTAGACTGTTATTTTCCAGTGGCTTTATTTCCATTCCCCTAACTTCTTTTCTGACTCTTAAATATCAAGATTCTGCCTTATGTTTAGTGTGGCTCATGAAATCCCTCAAAAGAATAAATGATCCTTACACTCGGTCTAAAGGGAGAGTCTGAAAGAAATGCTGTGTAGCTAGGAGAATCCGCAACTCTTTCCAGAAAGGAAGAGAATGATGTAGGATATATTTCTGTCCCTTTTTCCTAGAACCTGCAATCTTCTATTGCCTTATGACGAATTGGGCGTTATGGATAAAGGCTCATACACTGTCCCAGCCCCCAGCCGAGGACACGGATGTGCCTCAGCCCCGTATCTGGTGCCCGCACAGCCGGTGTTGGGGGGGGGGTGGAGTCTTCTTTTTAGATGTGAAGGCTGTGTCCCCTACATCTCACATTTTGTGATTTGGTGAAGGAATTGACATTTTGGTTTTACAGATGTCATCGAAGCCCTGTTTCACCTTTTCTGCCCTTCTGTGACAGCAGGCTGCCTCTGTGCCCTCCACCTCCCACATCCCCCTAACATTTCTCTTGCCACCCTGGGCTCCTCAAGCCTGGCACAGTGCAGGGCTCACTCACAGACCCGGTTACTGCACACGCCATTGTCCTTCCAAGAGATATCATTTGACCATTTGTTTTGTGCTCCTGGCAGAGTGCAGCTTTATAACGCCTGGTCCCCTCACACGTGTCTACCAGGACTGAAGTGCCATCACCCAAAGACAAGCAGTTGTGTCCACTCCCCACCCCTGCCCTAAAGCCTCATTCCCGGGCCCTCTGCTCCAAGGGAGAAACCAGGCTGATACCAGCATCAAATTTCTGTTTTCAGACTGTTTCAAAGCAGCCATTAATAAAAAACGAGCTAAAGATAACGCTAAGAGGGACGCCTAGCTGGCTCAGTCGGTAGAGCATGCGACTCTTGATGTCAGGGTTGTGGGTTCAAGCCCCAAGTGTAGCCAATACTTAAATAAATAAGTAAATAAATTTAAAAAAAACACTAAGAGATCAAGACAAAGCGGAGCTTTTGGCCCATCTGGTTTTCCCATGTGTCACCAAGCAGCTACCTTGTCAAAGAGGTTAAGCTTCTTGTCTGGAAGCCCTGGCTACCGTTATAGGAAGCCCCCTCAAGCGTTGTGCACCCCCCTCCCCCCCACCGCGCGTTCCTGGCCATGAAAGACTGGCTCGCTGGGCTGGGCTTGAACCCGACCCGCTGGGGTGTCTGTTGTAGAGTTCTCCCCCCACCCCCCACCCCCGCGTTCACTCAGTGTTCTTTTTGTTCCCATTTCCAGAGGGTTTTCAGGCTGATTTCTGTTGTTCTTTCAAACTTGATAAAGCTGCTCACGAGACGCAGTTTGGCCGGAGTGACCAGCACGGCAGTAAAGCAACCAGCTCTTTCCACCTGACGGCCAAGGCCCAGAGCCGAGACCGAGCCAGACCAGGCATGGCAGAACCCACGAATCATGACCAGTTTCATCTAGTGCCTAATCACCTCGTGGTCTCCGCAGAAGGAAACATTTCTAAAAAAACTGAATGCCTCGGCAGGGCGCTAAAGTTCGACAAGGCGGGTTTAGCTCAGTACCGGAGTGCGTCCGAAGAGAAAAGCAGCAGGCGGGAGTCGGTGAAGGCCAGCGAGTGCCCTCCCGGCCCCGAAGGGCCCCGAAAATCCTCATCCCGACTGGACCATGGTACTGACAGCAAACTCTCCAGTATCCTAGGGGATTCTCATTTGGAGATGACGTGTAACAATTCCTTCCAGGACAAAACTCTGAGGAATTCTCCAAAGAATGAAGTTTTACACACAGACATCATGAAAGGGTCGGGCGAACCCCAGCCAGATCTCCAGCTCACCAAGAGTTTAGAAACAACGTTTAAGAACATCTTGGAACTCAAAAAGGCCGGGCGGCAGCCCCAGAGTGACCCCACGGTTAGCGGCTCTGTCGAGTTGGATTTCCCCAACTTTTCTCCAATGGCTTCGCAGGAAAACTGCCTGGAAAAGTTCATCCCGGACCACAGTGAAGGCATTGTAGAAACGGACTCCATTTTAGAAGCAGCTGTAAATAGTATCTTAGAGTGTTAATAGCCTCAGCCCTTCCCCGCCCCGTCCCGAGACCCCGCCCCGTCCCGAGACCCCGCCCCGAGGCCCCGCCCCGGACAAGTTACATTCTTTCCTGGCAAAAGCAAACGGAAGTGGTCTCCTGTCTCCAGCCAGCTTGATCTTTCATCACAGGTTGTCCTTTCTGATCTCGATCTCATTCTTTGTTTCAGAGCAATACTCGTCGTGGTTACAGGGAGATCCCTTCGCGAAACGAATCTTTGTTAGAAAGCAGTCTGATAGGCCCGACACATTTCAAGTGTTACGAAAGTGCTTATAGTCATTTCTGTGTTTGTTTACTTGTTTTAATTTTTCAAAACAAAACACCGCTGAGATCACAGTACACTTGGCCCTGGGTAAAATTCTGACAATCATAAGTCATTTGAAAGGAAAAGACTTATTAAAGAAAATCAAACAGGACCGATAGAAGCTACTTTTTAAAGAATAGCCCACCGCATCTCCCAGTTTTGCCGTTTGGGGTCTGTTGTCCTTGTTGTTGGGAGGGCAGACCGCCGGGTCATGCCCCCTCAGGCCATCTCTGAGCTCCTCTGCCAGGGTTGCCGCAAGGACGACTCCCCCCCCCCCCCCCCGCCCCGAAGCTGCCAGTAGCGCACAAGCAGGGCATTTGCAGGGTTTCCTTGCTCATCGTTCAAGTGCTTTTCTGACGCTCCCAGAGCAAAGCCTCACGCTTTTCAGCCGATGCGCGTTGAATTTCATCTAGGGAATGCTCTCTCTGTTCTTAGTTGCAACAGCATGACTTGAGATCATTTCATCAGGCTAAATAAAGGAAAACGGAAACCAGTTAAGTGGCACAGTGTACAGGGGAGGCCGGGATAGAGCCTTGAGGAATATAATATGTATATATGTAAAAGCATATATATATGTGAACTATTGAGAAAAAAAAAACAAGCATTTTCGCATTTTCTAATTGGATATAGTCAACATAATGCTATATGTTTTTGTTTGTTGCTGGGTTTCTTTTCATTTAACCTCTCTGGCCCCTCTCCCACAAATAGCCAAGCGTCTAAAGCACTTTCGTTTGAAAACTGTGTTGTAATTTTTCAGTTTAAACTTTAAGGGGACTTTGGCCTTGTTTATGCTTCTTGTCTGAGAACAGTAGTCACCCCACCACCCCCACCCCCACCCCCACCCCCGGCAGCAATCATTACCAAAACACGGACAAACCAAAGTAACCAGCCAGCCCCCCCACTGAAAGAAAAGATCTAAGACACGGGAGTCCCACTTGAGAGTCAAAGGACATGCCCTGTCATGGTCTGTGTGTGGCCCGTGTTCATATTAGTGAACATGACTTACTGCTTTATTTATTTATATTTCTTTTCAGGGAACTTTCCCCATTTTCCTTCCTTGTGTTCCTACCCCAGGTCATCCCACCTCTGCTGTTCCCTTCATCCTCAGTGTCATTGTAACCAGCCGGTCTCTCCCATCATCGGGAAGGCCACGTAACGGTATTTCATACGTGCCCTCCCCCACGTGTGTGTGTGTACCTGAGCTGTTCAGATCCAGAGGTCACTCTGGTGACAGTGTGGACACACCCACTCTTCCTCCCACTTCCTGCGCGCACTCTCTCATTTCTTCGGTTGATCTCTCTGGGCTTTAGAGGTGCACCCACTGGTCTCCACTCTCACACGGTGCCAGCATCTGTTTCTGGCTGTTTCCAGAACGGGGATGACCCCCATTGTCATCATGTTGGGCGCTGCTTCTCCAGATTGGCCCGCGATGGAAAGGAAGGCTTCTGATTATTGGAAAACACGACAACAGAAGACCCAGACTCTCCCTGTCCCGCTCTGTCCCTGCACTGTCCTTGAAGGAACCCCCTCAGACAGCCAGTTTTCTTAAAAGCAAAGTACCTTCTTCCTACCCTCACCCCCACCCTGGCCAATAGAACTTGGAAAATCTGGGCCATTTTAGGGTTCCCATTTTTTCCTTATTTGTGCCAATGTCCAAGTTGCAGATTTCCCCTTTTTCCTGTATTGTAACATATTAGAAGGATAAGTTGGTATTGCCAGTTGGAACTTTCTGTTTGGGCAGCCCTGGGGTAACACCCTGCCCTGAACCCCATGATTTCATAGGCTCTTCTTCTCTTAGGACTCATGCTCCCCTCATTCCTAGCAAGACTTAAAGATGGTCCCTCTTAATCAAATTCTTCTCATTGTGGAACTCTCTACCTGGAAACCTTCACGTAGGCTACTAATTAATTACGCCAATCAGTGGAATTCTTAAGAGAAAAGATAAACTTCATGTACATTGGTCACCTCCCTTCCTTCCCTATCCTGCCCTGCTACCCCAGCCCCCACTTTTCTAAATTCCATCTCAAAGGGTTTTTCAAGCCCTAACACTTGTCTAGCAAACAGCCTAATTCACCAAAATGAAACTTGTAAATTTTTGTGTCCTTGTATGTAAGTTTACTTTCTATGGAGGAAAGATTCTAGATAATGACAAATGAAGATTACGAAAATGTATTTTACTCCTGTGATTAGATTATGCGCACATGGGTCCTAACTCACACGTCGAGCCCCCTCTGGCGAAGGGTAAGAGAGCTCCACCTTGGACGGCCAACTTTCAGTTGTTTAGGTTCGTTAGTCAAGGTTAAGTTTTAGAACTACTTGTACTCAGTAACAAAAATCATTTTCTTTCTTTCTTTCTTTTTTTCCTGTTGTGGAAAAGTGTGCATTTGTTATTAAGCATTTGATTTTCTGTGTCCTTAAATACTGCCTAAAGATAAAGCAAATTTTAAACTGGCAATTACGAAAAAGAACTATTTTAGCTCTGAAGAATTTAGTAGATTTTGTTAGATTAGGGAGGCCTTACAGACTGACTTGACTTATAGAGGACGCGTCACTCACTGTCAGTGTGGTGTGGGCTTTATTTGCTTAAATACCTTCATTTGTATAGTATGTCTCACTTGAAATTGCTTTGTATACATTTTGTAAAAATATTTATAAAATGTTTTGTAAAAAAAAGTATAACAAATTGCAGTTTATTTTGTTATGTTGGATAAATACTGTTAAAAGAAACCAGTCAGTAACTATATTGTTAATCCATGGTTAGGAAATGTTTAGTTGGAGATTACGAAATGAAACAACCATTGCAATACAGCCAAAGATTTGGGAAAATGTGCAACTGTGATTGTCTTGATTTTGCAAATAGGAATGGCTCTTTCTCCAGAAGAAAAGTGTAAGTAAGTGTTCAGTGGGAGTTCAACTGAAATAGATTTACCATTCCCAAACAGGAGCCTAAACTAGTGAGGGGATAGGACTGCAATTGATTGGCCTTTCCAAACGGTTTCCAACTCAGCAGGGTTGGTCAGTGAGAAAGTTTAGTCATGTACATCTCTGGCCTCCATCCCTACTCTTTTCACATGGGTCCTTAACTGAGGAAGGGAAAATGGGGTCATTTGAGAAGTTACATAAATGAGCCTCAGTCTGCAGGAGGTTTTCTCAAATCATACTTCTTTTGTTTCAGTGAAGGACAAGAAGGCTAAAAGGGATAGGGCCCGAAAACTATTTTACACAAGACTTATGCCAGAATTAACATGTTTCTCTCTGGATTCACACATTTGATCCACTGAGAAGTACCTCTGTATCCTTAGCTGTAAAGTCAGCCCCCTGAGGCCCTTCTGAGTTCTTGCCCTCACAAGTGGGACTCTGCCCAAATTGTTAGGGAAATCACCATAGGGTGAAATGTATTTCTGGGGGTGAGGTAGAAGGCTCCTTAAATTTTTCTTTGGGGCCTAGGATTTACACTTACATTCCTTATGGTTTAATTGTGCCGCCTTCACACACACACACACACACACACACATACACCCTTTAAGCAGTAGTAGTTAGGAAATCAAGATTCTGCTGTAATCAATATATATACAGGAAGTTGTTCTCCTAGAACTAACAGCAGTCAGAATCATTACGGCTAGAATAGTTACATCACTCAATGCATCCCTTAATGTCTTCTGCAGTGTTGCCCTGATGTCAAGATTCTCTTGCTAAGGACAAATACGTGCCCATCATGACATTCCTTCCCCTCCCCCTTCAGGCCATTTGCAATGGGAGTGCCCCATGAATGAAGAAGGCAGGATGATCTGGCTGCTTGATTAGGATCTGTCTCTGTTCCCCACGGGAATGCCCAGAGGAAAGACCAGGCATCTTCTCTAAGGATGGTTAAAGCCTTCAGTCCTGTGTAGGGGGGGCTGTGTTCCAGGAAGGGGTCAGGGGATTATTTGGGGGCAAAGAGAAAAGAAAGAAACCACAGGCTGGGGGCACTGAAACAGCATCGCTCAGGCAAGACTCTGGCTGTGCTGTCCCCCCAGGGGCTAGCTGGTTTCACGCTCTGACTCTGCTTTAGCCTGTGTATGTTCTCCGAGACACAGGGAGGGCTCCTGGGTATCCACCTGCAGGTGGAGAGCATCAGCCACCATACGTTGCTTGAGCAGTTGACAGGCACTGGGCTGGGCACTGAGGATACATGGATAATTCAGGTCTGACCTACTCTCAAGGAGCTTGCAGTCTAGAGAGGAAACAAGCACAAAAATAATTGCATTCCATTTGGGAATTGACGAGTTCAGGAGAGAAGAAACTAGGGCTAAAATTCTTTCCAGCCTACCACTTCAGTAGAGTTGCAGTCTATATTCCAATGTCCTGCTTCTTGGTACATCCTGAGTTACATCTGAGAAAAAGGTATGGTGCTTTGTGCAGGAATAAAGGTAAAGGCATTTTGTAATCATAGGGTTAAATATGTGGAGAAATCTGGTTCACACAAATGGTAGGAGCACCTTTGTAGTCTAAAGTGGATTCTGTAATATGGATAGCCCGTGTCTGTGTTGCTGCCCATAAAAGGCCTTGAAGCCCTAATCTACATTTCCCATGGGCATGTGCTGGAGCCTGGCCTTTGAACACATTTGCAAAGGCAAGAAGATCCTCAGGGAAAAAAAAAATCACTTCTGTGAAGGTCCAGGGAGGCAGTACAACAGGATGGGCAGAAAGTGCCTTTGGCAGCAGAACCTAGAAATGGGTTCTAGGACCTTGTCTAACACATAGAGATCTCAGCGTAAGTTCCTCTCAGCCTCAACTTCTTTGCCTATAAAGATTTGTCATGTCCCTCTAACTCCTTACAGTGTAAAATAAGGTGTTACTGAAGAAGTGGGAAAGGTGGAAGAAACTAAGTGCCATTACCCCTGAAATAATTCAGGGGCGGTTTGAGTTTTTCTGTTTTGCCTTTGGTCATACCTCCTGCACACTGCTTCCTACTCTAGCTTTCCTGGGTCCAGCCTGGCCTCTCAGAAGTCGGCTGCCCTTCACAGGTTCTGTCCTTTTTCTCACACGTTTGCCCCCTTATGCTTGTCTTTCGTCAGGATCAAAAGCTGTTGGCCACGTTGTCTTCCCCAACTCTAGGCTCATCTGGCTGCTTTCACACTAATCTCTTTCCCACCTGATTCCTGGTAACCCCATGTCACTCGCTGAGGAAGCAACAAGGAAAACTTGAAACAAAACGAAGTCAACTTCAAAAAGGCTCATCATCCAAGAGGTTTGGGACCGATGGGAAATTGCAGATGGAACCCCCTTTTGGGTGCGGTGGGTGTGGTGGTTTTGCCTCACTGAGAAAGCACTGCTCAATTTATCTCCTAAATGATTCCAAATAATCCCAAAGTGCAGACAGTACAGAAGTAACTTGTTGTGGAATATGCTAGGAAAGGAACCCTGGAGTCAAGCCAGAGAGCCACAGAATGTCCTGAAAGGACTCTTAAAAAAAGAGTCAAGTGATTTCTAAAACAGGCAAATCAAAATAAACAAAGACAGGCAAATCAAAATAATAAACAGGCAAATCACAAGAACATAATTACCTAGACAGTTTTTTCTTTTTAAGATTTTTTTTTTTAATTTTCTTATTTGAGAGAGAGAGCAAGAGAGCACAAGCAGGGGGAGCGGCAGAGGGAGAAGGAGAAGCAGTCTCCCCGCTGAGCAGGGTGCCGGATGCAGAGCTCCACCCCAGGACCAAGATCATGACCTGAGCCAAAGGCAGATGCTTAACCGACTGAACCACCCAGGCACCCGGACAGTTTTTTTCTTAAACCAATACACACGGGATAAATGAAAAAAACAGCATAAAATATAAGTCTTCCTATCTCAGGACCCACTCCCATTTCCCAAAAATAACCCCCATCAACACTTTCTTGTATATACTTCCAAAATTGTTACATACAAATACATCTATAGCCAAAAAACAAAAACCACAAAACAACCAGGGACCACTCTTTTACACCCTATTCTGTATCTTGCTTTTTCAAATGTAACCAAATATCTCCGAGTATTTTAGCCTGGTTGCAAGCAACAGAAACTGATCTGCTTGGTTAACCAGCATAATGGAGTTTTATAGAAAAGATAAGGATTGAAGGGAAGATGGAAGAACCACTAGATTTGAGAAAGACAGGAACAAGGAAACTTCGTAGGTCTTCGTAGGTAGAAATTCTTTTTTTTTAAGATTTTATTTATTTATTTATTTGAGAGAAAGAATGAGAGAGAACACATGAGAGGGGGGAGGGTCAGAGGGAGAAGCAGACTCCCTGCTGAGCAGGGAGCCCGATGCAGGACTCAATCCCGGGACTCCAGGATCATGACCTGAGCCGAAGGCAGTCGCTTAACCAACTGAGCCACCCAGGCGCCCCGTAGGTAGAAATTCTTAAAAGTCTTGCCCCAAACCTCCAATGTTTCTTCCATCGTCATCCTGCTCAAGATTCAAAACCCAGAGGGGAGAAGCTTTTTGTTTTTTTAAGATTATTTGAGAGAGAGAGGGAGGGAGAAACAGCTTGAACAGGGGGAAGAGCACAGGGAGAGGGAGAGAATCTCCAGCTGGCTTCCCGATGAGTGTGGAGCCTGACGTGGGGCTCAATCCCACAACCCTGAGATCATGACCTGAGCCAAAACCAAGAGTCAGACAAGTCAGATGTTAAACTGACTGAGCCACCCAGGCGCCCCCCCACCCACAGGAGAGGTTTATAGCATCTCATGCCCCCTCCCAATGGAGAGATGAAAGGAGTTGAAAAGATCTTCCAGAGACCCCTTCAACTTATGTATTGGGAGGACATTTATATTTGATACCCTACTCCACTCCAATAATCTACATGGTGAAGGAGAGACCAGTCCACAAGAGAAATAGGATACTGTTAGGAAATGGAAATGGAGATCAGCAGGCCAAAAAATAGAAAATACCATTAAGATTTCAGGACATGATGGGGCGCCTGGGTGGCTCAGTTGGTTAAGCATCTGCCTTCGGCTCAGGTCATGATTCCAGGGTCCTGGGATCGAGCCCCGCATCGGGCTCCCTGCTCGGCGGGAAGCCTGCTTCTCCCTCTCCCACTCCCCCTGCTTGTGTTCCCTCTTTCTCTGTCTCTCTCTCTCTGTCAATTAAATAAATAATAAAATCTTTAAAAAAAAAAAAAAAGATTTCAGGACATGAAAACCTACCTCATTGCATATAATTGCATTGTCTTCCATAATTTATTTAATCATTCCCTCGTGATGGACAACGAAAGCAGTCAAGAAAAAAGAAGCCTATGATAATAGGCTAAAAGAATAAGATTCTCGGGGCACCTGGGTGGTTCAGGCGGTTAAGTGTCCAACTCTTGGTTTCAGCTCAGGTCATGATCTCAGGGTGGTGAGATCAAGCCTGTGTGGGGCTCTGCGCTCAGCGGGGAGTCTGCTTAAGATTCTCTGCCTCTCCCTCTCCCCCTCCCCACCCCTCTAAAATAAATAAAATCTTAAAAAAAAAAAAAAAGAGGGGCACCTGGGTGGCTCAGTCGGTTGAGCATTTGACTCTTGATTTCAGCCCAGGTCATGGTTGCAGGGTTGTGGGATCGAGCCCATGTGGGGCTCCGCCCTCAGTGCGGAGTCAGCTTGTCCTCCCTCTGCTCCGTCCCCTACTCTCACACACGCATTTTTTCTCTAAAATAAATAAATAAAATCTTTTTAAAAAAGATTGAGGCTGTAAACGACCATTCCTCATTCTCACTCACTATCCTCACTTTGAAATAAAAAGTCGTGTATCTTGCCTAGCCGCTGGAGCGTATGGTCAGTGCTCAGTAAACAACATGTATTCAGTTAGTGAATAATTTGGGGTTGAAGAGGTCTCAATGTCTTTTCCTCTGGATGTTTGTAGAATGATGACTTGGGCACTGAGAAGAAGTACTCTCCTAGCACCATCTGCTGGCATTGGAAAACCTTTCCTGAATCATGGCCTCCAAGTCTCTTTCAGCCAGTATTTTTTTTTTTTTTAAAGATTTTATTTACTTATTTGAGGAGAGAATGAGAGAGAGAGAGCACATGAGAGGAGGGAGGGTCAGAGGGAGAAGCAGACTCCCCGCTGAGCAGGGAGCCCGATGCGGGACTCGATCCGGGGACTCCAGGATCATGACCCGAGCCGAAGGCAGTCGCCCAACCAACTGAGCCACCCAGGCGCCCTCAGCCAGTATTAATAGCCCTGAAATGCCTCCTCTTCTTAATACCTTCAGTACTGCAGAACTTACCTTTTATCTGTACATACAGTTACAAAATAGTGACTTATTTTTGTTCCTTGTTTACTAATAAATGTTTTACACTTTGGTGATCCTTGTTTTTGCCTTTTTACAAAGTCAGACACATGTGAGACACTGAGTGAGTGAGTGAGGAGCCTCACACCAGTCCTTGACTCCAAACTGTTGTCCTTTGACATTTATTCATCAGGTAATGAACTCTGTGTATGGCACTATCTTTCTGGTTGGACTAGTTACATAGCACACACCGATATGATGCTTTGAGCTTATTTAAAAAAGCCCCTGTAGATGCCCACTATTGTGACAGGAGCTATAGAAGACAAAGAAGTATGAGATAAGTTCCCTGCCTTCGGAGCACCCAATCTAATCAGGGAAGCAGTAAGTTAAACAGCACAGGACAGTCTATGGTGATGCCTGTAAGCGCCCAGTGCCGAGTAATGACACTGGAATACATACTGTGCTATGTATATATGGCACTAGACATCCAAAGCCTGGAGACATTTTTGTCACATCTGGGGTGGGGGTGCTACTGGCATGTAGTTGGTAGAAGCCTAGAATGATGCTCAACATACCACGATGCACAGGACGGCCCCCCATAATAAAGAATTATCTGGCCCCGAAAAGCCAATAGTACTGCGATTGAGAAACCTGTGCTAGACCTTTAGCAACTGCCATGAGGGAGGCAGGCATGGTCCCTGCCCTCCTAGTATCATGAAAAAATGTTGAAAATATAATAATACCGTGTTGAAGGAATTCAAAGAAAGGAAAGAGACTACTCTAGAGTCTTGTTAAAGTACAACCCATAGACCTGAAGCATGGCATCACTCTGAAGCATGCTAAAAAAGGGGAATATCAACCCCCCCACCACCTCTCATTGAATGAAAATCTGCATTTTTAACAAGACCCTCAGGTGACTACTTATGCGTATTAGTGCTGGAGACAGCGCTGCACTGGAGGTTTCCAGAAGACAGGACATGAGTTATTTTTCATTGTTTTATGAAGCAGGAAAGGAAGCAAATTCCAGGTGGTGAGAGCTATATGAGGGAAGATTCTGAGATGGCGAGGGGCAATTTCTATTTTTCGATCCAGCACTAATAACTAACATAGTGTTGCCTGCTTACAGTCAGACATTGTGCTTTATACGAAATATTTCACATAAAACTCATAACACTATTGGGCAGGTCCATTTTAGGGGTAAAGCAAACCAAGGTACAGAGGGGTTAAATAACTTGCTCCGGGACCCACTGACCGAGCCGTGCTGATGGAATCGAAGCTGCATTCTCTCCCACCCGAAGTCCTCCACAAACACCTCCACCCACACGTGAGAGCCAAGGTCGAGGCCCCAGCTCTCCCCACCAGCGAAAAGCCAATCACGCCAGCCACTCTTCCTTCCCGGACTCGCGCCGCGGAAGGGAAGCCGGAGGAGTGGCGCGCCCTCCACACCGGAAGTCGTAGGTGCAACGTGAGAAGTGTTTTTATAAGCCCCGCCACCGGCGTTAAACGAATATTGCGTAAAGGAAGAGGGCGGGATTTTGAGAAGCACACAGACCCTAAAGTGCTTGGAAGCGGTGCGAAGAACGTTTTGTGCAGCATTTGGCAGGAATCGGTGCTAGTGAGACTGCAGCCGTTCACTGCAGCTCGCTGGGCGCTGGCTGTTGGGGAAGTACACCCGGAGCTAGACGACACATCTCTATGGTCAGGTAAAGATAGAGTGGGCCTCTCTTCCTCCACGTGGTGGGCCTGCGCATGAGCAGTAGCCGCAGCTTCGGAAACATGGCGGAGGAAGAGTGAGTGATTGGGCTTTGACTCTCTCGAGTGGGGTCTTGAGCATCTGGTGCCATCCACAATGTATATTCCTCAGCGGCGGGAAATAGGCTACTTGTGGACTGAAGGAAGAGAATAGAAAAGACTCCAGGTTACAGAGGGTGGGATGAGGAGGAAGGAGCCAGTCGTAGGGTTCGGGCTGACGGTCAGACGGAGGGAGCCGCAGTCAAGTTCGGGTTACCCCGAGCGGCGAGGGTTGAGTTTCTGGCGGCGGGCTGAAGAATGCCAGACTTGGGTTCACTCAGCTTGACTTAAGTATTGCTCCTGCCGATGGGACTGCACCCGTCCCAACCCCACGGAGTTTTACTAGAATCACGTAGCTGCTAGTGTCTTTAAAAGGCTGTGGCAGTAAACCTTCCGTGGAGGCATACGAGGGCCAGTGGCTAAGGGGTTCATGACTTTTTACTGCTTTAGGAAAGAGTGAATGTTAAGGGGTCCATTTTGAGGACTGGAGTCAGAAACCACAGGTTTCAGGGATGTCTGTCTTTAGGAATTTGAAGAGAGTGATGTTTCTCAGGCCCGAGATGGTTTAGAAATATATTGAGATTTGTTTTTTAAACATTATAGCTGATTGCAGTTCTCTCTATCAGGCAAAGAAAAAAGATCCCATTGGTTCCAGAAAATCTCCTGAAAAAGAGGAAGGTTTATCAGGCCCTTAAAGCCACTCAAGCAAAGCAGGCACTTTTGGACAAGAGGGAGGTAATGATGGGGAGCCAAGAGAAGGGAATTAGAATGTGTATTTGGTGAGTTATATCTAACACGTGTAGAACTAGACTTGGTATTGACAGCCCTTTCCCCATAGATTCTAACAGGTATATGGTTCATGTCTTCCTTTAACAGGTGTTTATAAAACACTTTCTGCAGGTAAAATACTGGAGTGGAGTTTGTTAAGGAAGTGGAGTAGAGATTGTACTATTTATTTAGGTTCATAGCAAGTGATTTGATAGACCAAACATGCTTGTGTACCTGGGAGAATATATATATATATATATTTTTTTTTTAAATATGCCAGACAGTTTTTGCTATTTGCTAAACGTTTTTGGAAAATACATATTTTGGAGTCAGGAAAATGAAACAAAGCTCGTGCTTATTCTGTACTTTGTGATGCTTAACCCAATGTTAAGTTCCATAAACATGTTGGTAAATGTTGACTAACAGCATGTAAACTAACTTGTTTATTCATCAGAGGCTTTTCCTAGTAGTTTCTGAGTTTTCACAACTCCACCTTTACTTGGGTGTCTCATTTTTCCCTTATATAGAAGATGTGCTTCTGTTTCCGGAACACAGTGGGAAATACACTCAGTCGATAGTGACTAATGAATTACTATTGTAGAAATAAAAAATAGAGGCACAAAATGGTGACGATGGTCTGCCTTCTCTGTAGCAGAAGAAAGGAAAACAGCTCAAGTTTAAGCGACTGGAGTGGTTTCTACATGACTCCTGGCGGCAGCAACGTGACAGGGTGCGCCTCAGACGACTAGAAGTGAAACCTCGTGGCCTAGAAGTGCCAGATAAACATTCCTTGGCCTTTGTTGTCCGCATCCAAAGGTGGGGAGCTTACCAGATTCCATAGGCTGGAGCAGACTATTGATTCAGCTTTAGACCCTTTCTAGGGAGATGAACTACAATAGGCTTTAAGCCACTAAGGCAAGTTGTGCTGGTAATTCAGGGTTGAGCACAACATAGTTTTCTTTTTTCTTTTTCTTTTTCTTTCTTTTTTTTTTTAAGATTTTATTTATTTATTTGACAGAGAGAGGCACAGTGAGAGAGGGAACACAAGCAGGGGGAGTGGGAGAGGGAGAAGCAGGCTTCCCGCCGAGCAGGGAGCCCGATGTGGGGCTCGATCCCAGGACCTGGGATCATGACCTGAGCCGAAGGCAGACGCTTAACGACTGAGCCACCCAGGCGCCCCCACAACATAGTTTTCATCTTTAAGGTTAAGGGGACTGACCTTAGGCAGACAGACATGAAAATCTACCCAGTGCTATGAGGGTCGTCTACTGCCGGGGCCATACTGCTTCAGGACACTCTCTAAAGAGGACCTGGAAGCTGAGACCTGTACACATGGAAGGAATTCACGAGTGTTGGGGGAAGGCTTTCCAGGCAGAGATGCAGAAAGTCCTGAATTGGAAGAACCAAGGAGTCTTTTTTGTTTTCTTTTTTTAAGATTTTATTTACTTACTTCTTTGACAGCATGAGCAGGGGAGAGGGGCAGAGGGAGAAAGAGGCTCCCCACTGAGCAGACAGCCCTACACGGGGCTCAATCTCAGGACTCTGGGATCATGACCTGAGTCCAAGGCAGACGCTTAACCAGCTGAGGCACCTGGGTGCCCTTCAAGGAGTCTGTCTAGGAACTGAACCAAGGTCAAGTAGATGGAGCATATTCAGTGCTGGAGAGAGTTCATAAAGTTTTTTCCTCATTAGTTGTACTTTACCCGGTCTGTCTGCATATACAGCCGCCTCTCCCTATTTCCTGTAGCCAGTCACCCAAACCAGAAACCTGTGGGCTTTAGATATTTTTGAGCCCTCATCATTAACCTTCCTACCACGTCTCGTAATTTCTTTCCTGGACCAGCGCATTAGCTTCCTAACTGGGTTTCCGTGCCTTTGGTGGCACGCTTTCAGATCTGTCCTATATGCTCTTCTCAGTGATTGTCAGAAAGCCGATTGTGTCTCCTTTACCTAAAATCTTTTTCGGGCTTTTACTGCCCAGAAGCAAATCCAGCTTCTTTTGCTTGATATGCACAGCCCCACACACACACTCCCCCCCCCCACCCCCACACACAGAATCAGGGCCCATCTCTGTGTTCCTATAGCCCTCAAGCATTACTCCACATCGTGTGAGAGTGATCTGTTTATATATAGCTGCCACTTCCTGATCTGACATCGTCTGTGTCTTGCTCTCTGGATGCCCTGTAGTGGCAAACATTACATAGGTGCTTGCTGGACTGACATAAAGTGAGTAAAACCTGACTTCCTCTGCTGTTCATTTCAGGATTAATGGGGTGAGTTCACTGGTGCAGAGGACCATTGCACGGCTTCGCCTGAAGAAGATTTTCAGTGGTGTCTTTTTCAGAGTGACCCCCCAGACCATAAAAACGCTGCGTGTAGTGGAACCTTATGTGACCTGGGGGTGAGTAAGGTTTGTGTGTGTGTGGATTCAGATTCGATTGTATTTGAGCATGGTGAGAACATTAGGATGCGCAGGGTGCTATTCTCCAAGGTAATGAGCTTGTGTTGCTGTGTTGAAGAAACATTTTGTTGTGACCACAATCACCAGAAATCAGCTGCCAGCCATAAGACCTTGGAGCACGGGGCAGGTAGAGCAGGAGGTATCCATCCTGCTGCTCACGTACCATGGACAGTACCCCGAAGGGCTCGTTCACTTGCAGGCTGAGGCTGAGTAAGGGGTAGAAGAGAAATTAATTCTCAGAGTCTTGAAGCAGAGCTAGGGGCTGTGCTTGTGTAAGAGTAGTGTTCCTTCAAATGTGAAAACCCAGCAGAGGCTGGGATTTAATTTCAGCCTCTGGCACCATCTTGGGTAGAGGGTCATATAAGGCCAGAGTCCTGAACTGTAAACCAGCCCTTGTTTTATTTTTGCCTGGGAAAGTAAAATTCTTTTTTGCATGGTGAATGTTTATAGCCATACATTTTAATTTCTTTTTTTTTTTAAGATTTTATTTATTTGCGAGAGAGAGAATGAGAGACAGAGCACAAGAGGGAAGAGGGTCAGAGGGAGAAGCAGACTCCCCGCTGAGCAGGGAGCCCGACATGGGACTCGATCCCGGGACTCCAGGATCATGACCTGAGCCGAAGGCAGTCGCTTAACCAACTGAGCCACCCAGGCGGCCCATACATTTTAATTTCTAATTACATAGGGCCACTCTGGTTTTCTACCCCCTTCTTCACTTGTGTACTTCCAAGCATCCCAGCTGCAGTGTGATTGGCAGGAGATTTCTTGGTGGGAAGAAGGGGTAGTGGGAGAATCTCTCCTCGGGCAGGCTGCAGGACTGAGTGGCCAGTGTCATGCAGTGTGCCAGGGGCTGATAAGGCTGTACCTCATTCGGTCTCACATAGATTTCCAAATCTGAAGTCTGTCCGGGAACTCATCTTGAAACGTGGACAAGCCAAGGTCAAGAATAAAACCATCCCTTTGACGGACAACACAGTGATTGAGGAGCACCTGGGTGAGTGTTGCCCCTTAGGGGTCAGTTGGGGCAGAAAGCAAGGATCTCTGGTGGTCTTGATATGGGATCTAGGTCGTATTCTTCTTCTTGGGGTCCCAAGAACCTACCAGAGTGCCCAGCTCTGGCATGTAAGAGCCTCATAGTTTATACTGGGCCAAATGTTGAATGAAGGAATCTATACTCTTACGTTTCCCAGGGAAGTATGGTGTTATTTGCTTGGAAGACCTCATTCATGAAATCGCCTTTCCGGGGAAGAATTTCCAGGAGATCTCTGCGTTCTTACGTCCTTTCCATCTCTCAGTGGCCCGTCATGCTACCAAGAATAGAGTGGGTTTCCTCAAGGAGGTGGGCTTACCTGGCTATCGAGGTGAACGCATCAATCAGCTCATTCGGCAGCTGAATTAAACCCAGGTGAGGCTGGAAACTGCCCTTGGGCTGACTTTTGATGGGCCATGCCTTGCCATTCTTTTTGCATTTATCAGTATCTGAGAGTAGCTCTGGCATTGGGGGGAGAGGAGAGACGGGTAGCTACAGGTCTAACAGAAATGTGCTTAGGACAGTGAATGCCTGGTTAGGACATGGGGCTATGTGTATTCCAACAATTACAGGCTAGAAAATGTTGAGTGGCAAAAAAATCCTTAGTGCTGTGGTCATTTACCTTGAAATGAGGAGAAAATGTTAAAAACCAATTTCAAAAAGGACGTGAAGATCTAAACCATCTATTTTGTTGAAAGTATCTTAACTTTTTGAAATTGCTTATTATTACTCTGAAGTGCCACCTTTCCTTAAACTTCTGTTTGTTTGTTTGTTTTTAAGATTTTATTTATTTATTTGACAGAGACACAGCGAGAGAGGGAACACAAGCAGGGGGAGTGAGAGAGGGGAAGCAGGCTCCCGCTGAGGAGCCCGACATGGGGCTTGATCCCAGGACACTGGGATCATGACCTGAGCCGAAGGCAGACGCTTAACGACTGAGCCACCCAGGCGCCCCTCATTAAACTTCTATTAATGAAGTTTTTCTTTCTCAGAATATCTGAAAGCACAGCGCATTGGTGGCATGTGTTTTGTCTTTTGGAATGGTTACCGGTATCTTCAAAGATTATTTTCTGTTGTATCTTCAGAAACTAGAGAGAGGGTCAAGGAAAAGAGGATGATGCTCCTGGCAAGCACTTGTCATCACAGCCCAGTTCCAAGGGAAAGTTCCAGTGTGTTTTCCACATTGGCTGCCCCTACCACCTCTGAAGTCAGCGGGGGACTCCTGCCACAGAAGAGGGAGTCCTGCTGTGTCACATCGTCTATCTTGGGATTTAAAGTTGGTGAACGAATACCCAAGCATGAATACAAGACAGCAGTGGACCAAGCTCAAGGACGTACTTGAACCTGGGGGTTCCTGGGGCCTTGTTTTGGAAGGAACTTGAAATATAATTACAAAGAAGAGTACGAAAACAGTGCTCAATTGTCTCTACTGAGTCCATGTTCTCACTCTTCAGTGACAGCTTTGCAAGTTCTCAGACTTGGCTGGCGCTGATGTGTATCTGGTGGCTTCCTTAGTGTAGCCTGTGATTGGCTTAGTCCTTTTCTTTAGCTCGAGATCTTAACTTACTCTTGGGTCTGTGAGAAGGGAAGGACCTTTTTCCCAGGAAAATACACTCAGATTTTTGCTTGGAAGTTTCTGTGTTCATAGGCTTTTCTTAGGGACCCATGCACCTTATGTGAGGAAGTCCTGCACTACCTGCATTGGTCACCTGGGCCCTGACCTTGTTAGTCTCCTCTGGTCCCTTATCCTTTGGAAGACCAAAGTTTACCAAGATAGCTTTTTCCCTTGGAGCCAATTGGATGTTTCCCGTTAGGAACAGAGCGGTAGATTCCTGAGCCCCCTGTACCATCTGGGAAATGCCCACCATTTATTTCTGCTGGGCTTCAGGTTGGGATTTTCTTGGTTTGGCATGGATGAAATTAGTACTCTCAGGTCTTTTTAGGCTCCACGAAGGCTTAATTGGACCCTGTCCTCGCATCGTCTATCTCCCGCAAGTAGTGCTGTCTACCCCCCTGGAAACAATGTTAGACCAACACTGGGGCTTCCAGGGACCTGAGACCTAAAAAGGGATCTGATCCTGCTTGTGTTTATCGTCTGTGTTCCCCTCCTAGGTGGGCCTTCCTCTGCTCCTGTCACTATGTTGCCTCAGTTGCCATCTGAGTAGTTGGTGAGGATGTGCCAGGTACAGGTTAAGACTTGAAAACATGCTTAACCGTTGTGTGCCCTGGTCCCTTAAGATCAGCTTTGCAGCACTTCTGGCTCATGGGGCCCTCAAACATAGCTGTGAGGTTGAGTTAGAAGTAGAACAATGCCTTAAAATGTGCCAGGTTGTGAGGTAATTAATTAGGTTGGTTGGCTTAAGAGTTAACCTGCCAGGAATAGATGTTAGAGCTTACACTTAAACTTTAAGGCATTGTGAAATCAAATTACTTGAAAATGACGTATCATTTTGAATGCCTAACTAAGCCCAGGGTTTCTATTGTAGAGCTGTTTTACACTAAATACAGGAATAATGTTTCCATTCTTGCCTGCAGAATGGGGCTTTCTAGGCTAACCTGTGTGCCTCACTGAACACAGTTGTTCAAAGGATTAAGCAAAAGAACAATTTTTAACTTAGAATTTAATGGAAATAAGTAAGTTATAAAAATGAATGTTCTGCTGTATCGTGTACTATGATGTACCATTCCCTAAACAAGTTGTGGACTTACCGTTTCTGGGAAAAATGAGTCCTTATCGTATGATCTGTAGATGTGTATTTATGTGAATTGTTCATGGCCATCAATGTATATTCCTGTCAACACTTACCATATGTATGTGGCAAACAGAAACCTCAGTTTCAGGAAGCAAGAGCAGGGGCAGTGAGCCACGTGGCCTATTTAAAGAGACAAACTTAAGGGGCGCCTGGGTGGCTCAGTTGTTAAGCGACTGCCTTCGGCCCAGGTCATGATCCCAGGGTCCTGGGATCGAGCCCCACATCGGGCTCCCTGCTCGGCCGGAAACCTGCTTCTCCCTCTCCCACTCCCCTGCTTGTGTTCCCCCTCACGCTCGCTCTCTCTGTCAATTAAGTAAATAAATAAAATCTTTAAAAAAATAAAGAGACAAACAAAGTGGTTGTAGGAGCTTTTCCTCTGTTCCAAAACTTAAAGCCTGACCCAACCAGTTCCCAGGGATTTTGTTGTTGGCTTCTTCAATGCTTTGGGATTTTACTGGCTTAGTGTGACTCAAGTCATTCTGGGGCCCAGTGTAATCATCAAACCTTGTATTATTAGCTGCTGATCTGGAGAATGGCTAAAATCAACACCACCTGGATCCCAAATTCATTTCCACAACCACCAGAATAAGCTGAACCGGGGAGATAAACACTGACGTTCTCATACATTACTAACGCAATTGTTCCCAGTGGGTTGGACCCCGTTAGTGTGTCTTCAGCAGTATTTTGAAAACGAAAACACATCTATGAATCTCAGTAAAGGATAAGATTTATCAAATCTCTATAAGGACTGAAACATTTTTTTAATGAGGACTGTGGGTCCAGAAATACGGATACAAGACAACCCTGACGACGCTCCCAGGAGGCTTAAGTCCAGCTGAGACCCGTCGGGGCAAATGCACAAAAGATGAATGACGGTGGCCAGTATCCGGGGTCCGAGTTGATGCAGGACACAGTCACGCTTTCCAGGTCTAAGAGGCAAAGGACCTCGAGCCTCAGGAACCCACTCCGTGCCATCAGGAAGGCGCAGTTCCTGCCTTCGCCGCGCAGGGCCCCTCCACGCGGTTCTTCTACCGGTACCCGAGGGTCGGCGGCATCTGGGGCCCCGGGTCTAGGGCGGCGGCGCGGGGGCCTCTGCCGAGCCCGCGGCCTCCCAGGGCTTGGGCCTCGGCGGGAGCCGGGACGCCGTGGGTTCGCCGTGGGTCGCCGCGATGTGGCGCTTCTCCACGCCCGGGAGCTCCCGGCCCTGCTGGACCAGCTGCAGGAGCTGCGCCAGGCTCACCGAGGCGGGGGCTGCGTGCGTGGGCGTGGGGCCCGGGCCCGAGCAGCTCCGACCGCCGGGCCGCTCCATACCGGGCCCCTCAGCCTGACCCGCGTGCAGAGTAAACGCTTCCGGGTGGGGTGGGTGCAACCACCGTCGGAGGGAATGAAGGGGGGTTCGTAGAGCATACCAAGCCGGCCCAGAAAGGGGGGAGCACTTGAGAACCACGACCAGCTTCACGCAGAAAAGCTTCACAAACACTGCAAACAGCCCGCACCAGAGTCTGTAACGTGCAATGCTCTAGAAGGAACTGGAAGGCTTGCGCAGAACAGGCCGTGCATGCGGACACGCTGATGCAGGCAAAAAGATCCAATTTGGCACACATGCATAGGCACCAAGTACAAAACTCTTTTCTTCTTTTTAAGATTATTTATTTATAAGAGAGAGTGCACGAAAAAGAGAAAGAGCACGAGCAGGGGGAGGGGCAAAGGGAGAGGGACAAGAAGACTCCCCGCTGAGCAGGAAGCCCCAAGGGGGCCTCCATCCAGGGACTCTGGGTCATGACCTGAGCCAAAGCCCAAGGCACATGCTTAACCCACTGAGCCACCCAGGCGCCCCTTCTTTTCTTTCTAAAGTAATCTCCTGGGGGGCACCTGGGTGGCTCAGTGGGTTAAGCGACTGCCTTTGGCTCAGGTCCTGATCCCGGGGTCCTGGGTCGGGCTCTCTGCTCAGCGGGGGAGTCTGCTTCTCCCTCTGCCTCTGGCGCTCTCCCTGCTTGTGTTCTCTCTCTCTCTCTCTCTCTCTCTCTCTCTAATAAATAGAATCTTTTTTTTTTTAAGATTTTATTTATTTATTTGACAGAGAGGGAGACACAGCGAGAGAGTGAACGCAAGCAGAGAGAGTGGGAGAGGGAGAAGCAGGCTTCCCGCCGAGCAGGGAGCCCGATGCGGGGCTCGATCCCAGGACCCTGGGACCATGACCTGAGCCGAAGGCAGACGCTTAACGACTGAGCCACCCAGGCGCCCCAAATAGAATCTTTTTTAAAAAATTTTTTAAAACTAGGGGCGCCTGGGTGGCACAGTCGTTAAGCGTCTGCCTTCGGCCCAGGTTGTGATCCTAGGGTCCTGGAATCGAGCCCCATGTCGGGCTCCCTGCTCCGCGGGAAGCCTGCTTCTCCCTCTCCTGCTCCCCCTGCTTGTGTTCCCTCTCTCGCTGTGTCTCTCTCTGTCAAAAATAAATAAAATCTTAAAAAAAAAGAAAGAAAGAAAAGGGTCACATGCTCTGCCGACCAAGCCAGGCAGGCAGCCCTCGAGAAAATATCTTAAAAAAATAAAATAAAATAAAATAAAATAAAAAAATAAAAAAAAATTTTTTTTAAATAAAGTCATCTGGGGAAGGGGGATTGGATAGCCCGGTGATGGGTGGTTAAGGAGGGCATGTTCTGCATGGAGCACTGGGTGTTATACGCAAACAATGGATCATGGATCACTACATGAAAAACTAATGATGTATTGTATGGTGAGTAACATAATAAAATTTTAAAAATAAATAAATAAATAAAGTCATCTCTTGGTTCGAACTCACAACCCCCGAGATCAAAAGTCACATGCTCCACCGACTGAGCCAGCCAGGCGCCCCGGGTACGTACGTATTTTCACACCGGGCAGAAGTGCACACCTACAGGGACACATGCAGCTGTGGAGAGGATCGCCCGCAGCCTCAGGAGAACGGGTAATAAGCGGCAGCACCGCAGAACCTCGCCACTCCCTCCCCATTTCCTGCCAAGGAGACTCTATTCCTGGTGTTCACCGAGGGGATGAGAAAAGAGGAAGGCAGGCCAGGGGTGCCACAGTCCTTCTGGCTGCTCTCAAAGTCAGTGCCCGTAATTGTCAGGTTTCTAAGTTTATGGAAAATTCGCCTCACCTGGCAAACACTGCCTTCACCAGGTAATCGAAGTCTAATTACTGTTAACAGAACGAGCTGGCCCCCTGTGTCTCTGGAGGTGTGGCCCCCGCCCGAGAAGGGCTCTGCAGAGAGAGGAACACTACAGCCTTCAGTATTCCTGCCCAGAAGACGCACTCTGAATCTAGTCCTGTGGAAATGAACAGACCAAGCAAAGTGAGAGACGTTCTGCAAATGACTGGCCTGGACACTTTATAAATGCCAGTGTCATAAATGTCTTGGGATGCCCACAAAGACGGTTATGGTAATTCTGATCAGATGGGTGACTATGCGGACTCTCTCCTGTGGCCCCTTCAGGTCCTCTCTCCACCCTTATCCACCCAGCTTCCTACACCCTGGCATCCACAGACGTCGCAATGGGCTCCCTTAACCTCTGGCTTTGGGGTCTGGCTAGTGGGGGCCCCAGTAGAAGAAAGAAGGAGAAGGAGGTCAGTGTATTTATTCCTCAGTTTCCCTCCCTCCATGATTCCCACAGGCGGCAGTGTCCCTCTAGAAGCTCTCTGGCTTTGGGGCCCTGCCATTGCTCCCTCCCCTCACCCCTTCAGGCCTGTTACCAGTTTCAGGTACCGCATGATCACTTGGGACATCCGGACATCCCTTCACCCTGCCACACCTCTATAAATAGTCCCTTTATTAAATTCTCCTCAAATTTCCCCATATACACATGTCCTCTGTTTCCTGTCCATACTCACCAATAACAGAATGGGCTCCAGGAACAGCCTCAGGCAGAATACTGAGATTGGACTGATCATAAGCCCAGAGAGTACAGGGGAAGCCTCCTTGCTGAGGGGGCAATGCACCCAGGTAATCCACTGCGTGCAGAGGTATCGCCATTACCGAAATTCTCACTGGGGGTGGCAGGGGTGAAGTGGAGAATACTTCGTTGTTGAGGTAGGGAGATGGCAGGCGAAATGGCTGTGGGTCATATGGCTGAGGACTGGCACCAGGATGTCATCGTAAGGGTTGCCAAGTGGCAGTGCTAAGCGTTCAGCCCTTTAGGGTAGCATAGGAGTATGCTAACACAAGGGCACTGATGCGGAAGGGGTGGGAGTCTGAGATGAGACGGGGACGTTTGGGCAGACATGTAGTGCCTCTGTCTCCCTGGACATCAGCTTCAGGACTCTCTCCACCTCCAGTCTTCCCTGGCTCTTCTCAAATTAGATCCCAGAACAGCCTGGGCAGAGAAGTATGAGGCCCACGCCGAGAGCAGACGGCCCAGACAGAAGGAATTACAGACCTTGCTGAACTGCCTTGGCAGGAGCCACAGCAATATGTGTGGGAATGGTTCTCAGGGAAATAGACCCAGGAGGGTGGAATGTAAGGCTCCGTTTGGCCAAACCCAAGGCCATGGATGCTCGTCCAGGACTTGGGATTTAATGTGTTGGCTCGAGCACCTGGGAGAGGCATTAATAGTCTATGAGGTTGGTTAATTAAAGCCTGGACTTAATGGTAGCCTACAGTTAGTAAACTTGACGTGCCAGAATTTCTACATACTGTAGAGGAAGGAATCCAAGATCTCAGAAAGGTGGGAATGCTGGATTAGATTTATTATGTGCCACCTGATTAGCCATCCCTCACCACATATTTTAAGAGGGTCTAGAAAACCCTCCCTTCGCCAAAGCATTCAGAAATGCTTTGGTGAGGGGGCGCCTGGCTGATTCAGTCAGTAGAACATGCAACTCTTGTGCTCAGAGTCGAGAGTTTGAGCCCCACACTGGGCACAAAGTGAAGAAAAAGAAGAAGGGGAAGAAGGGGAAAGGGGGAAGAGGAAGCAGAAGAAAAAGGAGAAGAAGAAGGAGGAGAAGAAATGCATCGGTGAGAGCCACCCACATCCTTGACTTGCTCTGATGGCTGTCCTCCGTAGGCTGGAGATGCTGGTGGGGGTGCTGGATGAATCAGTGGGACTGAGGTCTACAATCTCATTGGGCCAAATGGTGTCCTGGTAGTGTAAAGGCCAAGCGGTGATGCTTAACAGCCAAAGGCAAGGTAGCTGTAATACCTCCCATAAAGACACGGGAAATCGTGGTCATCCACTGGACATAAGGACAGTCCTGTGGACCCTGCTCAGCCTCGTTCCCTGGGCACTGTAGGCCTTGGTCAAGGGACCCACGGTAGCAGGGACAGAAGCTATGCTTTGGCTCAGTAACATAGCCTTCCCCTCTCTGAGGCTAATCTGGCTGCGGCCGGTGCTGAGCGCCCAACTTACTGACACCCCAATGCTGGGTCCCTGATTGGGCACCATTCTCACCTGGTGATAGACTGATCTGACTGGGCGCTCCTAGCATGGAAGGGCTGTGCTTTATCCTCATGAGAACAGACACATAGTCCAGGTATGAATTCACCTTCTCTGCCTCCAGTGCTTCTGTCAGCACCACCGTTCTGCCAGCATCAGGCATTCGGACGGACAGAATACCTTACTCATTGCCGTGGTATTCCGCATAACATCACCTCCAACCGGGGCACACATTTCATTGCCAAGGAAATGTATAAATGAGCTCACTCCCGAGGAATTCACTAGTCTTACCATGTGCCCCGTGACCCAAAAGCAGCTAGCAAGATAGGATGGTGGATGGACCTGCTGAAGGCTCATCTAAAGCAAGCTGAGACTCTACACCTTGCGAGATGCTGGGGCTATCCTGCTGGATGCAGTGCGTTCTTTATACCATACCCCTGCACAATCATATAGAGCCAAGACATAAGTAGGGGTAGTTGGAGGCTCCTCCCTATTATACCTCAAGTCTACAACCTACTGGAAGAACTTTTTACTACCCATTCCAATAATGGAATGGACTCGGGGAGCTTGGTGATCCTAGTATCCAAGGGAGAAACACTTCTACCATACAGTGATCATAGTACTGATGAGTTGGAAGCTGAGATGGCCCCCGGCCATTTTGGTTTCTGCTGCTACTGATCCAATAGGCAGAGAAAGGTGCCTCTGGAAAGTCTTGGTTGAATAGACCCAATTACTAGAGAAAATTAGGTTGCTCCTGCAACATAGAGATGGGGCTAGATCTGGAGCCCAGGGGATTCACTGAGGTGTCTCTTCTTAGGTTAACAGGAAACTTCAGCAACCCAACAAAGTCAAGACAACCTAACGACTCAGACCCTATAGGAATAAAAGTTTGAGCCACCCACCAGGTAAAGAATCTGGTGCTGGCAAAGGATAAGGAGAATGTCTCAT